AGACAGGAGAGGATTAAAAGCAATTGGCTCCACAGTTCTTTGCTACTTACCTCAGTTAGACACCACAGGCTGTGCAACTCCATGCCTACAGAGACAAGCCTCCTTTAACCATTGCCTGATGGCAACATGCAGGTTTTGACTACACTATCTTAAACAAAATCAAAGAGATTGGGTTAAAACCCAATCAAAGAGGCTTCCTCTGTGTGCAGTTCTTTGCCTCTTTTTCTTACTCCATAAAAATAATTAATGTGTTATGTTGATAAAAATTGTAGCCCTGTATCTATCACTTTTTTAGTGTTGTCACAATCTCCCTCCTATCAACACCTATAACTTTTGATGTCCACAATTTTTTATTTAATAGAATAAAGGTTTTTCATGATGGTGGGGGGATGGGACACACTTAGAGCATTCCGGTCCAAAGGTCCTGACATTTTGCCATCGTTATTTGGTGACACCAGTGCTTACCAGCAAATTTTTACTTTTCAGAGGTGCTCCTTGTATAAATGATGATGAAGCCAGGCGAGAAGAGGATGTCTTGATTGGTGAACCTGAGTCTGGATGCTCCAGGCCAGATCCACCAGAAAATGGCTTTATCAGGGTGAGCAAGAAAAATTAGTCATACAGAAGGGAAGTGTAATAGTAGCAGAGCTGGGAAATTTTTCGGCTTCTTTGCTACGCATGTGCCTGATACCTAAGCTAGCTACTGTGCTAGTGAGCATGTTGCTGTATATGTGGCATGCTGTGGAACTCTAGTCCACCAAAGCCCACCAGCAACTGAAGCAAAGGCAAGGTAAAATCCATTTCAAACAGTGGTCCTTGAATCCTTGTTTTGTAACCATGACATCAGTGCCGCTGGACAAACTTGTCATTATATAGGTGAGTGGAGGGCTTATATTTCAGAGTAGGAACAGCATTCATTACATCATATCATCAGGCTTTTATCATTGTTTCTTTTGACAATGTCCAGTCTTGTTACCATGGATTTTTGAGAGACTTTTTGGTTTCTTTTTCATAGAATGAAAAGAACCAGTACGATGTGGGGGAAGAAGCTGAAATTGCCTGCATGAGTGGTCATGTCCTCAGTGGCTATCAATACCTTCGGTGTCTGCCTGATCAAACCTGGACACAGCAACCTGTTGAATGTCAATGTAAGAAAGAGAAAACTAGTTTAGCCCAGCCACAGAAGTGGAAGAAAAAGACATGAAATAGATTTTAATACAGGTTTTAACAAAAGAATCTGTAATAATATCTGAAAAGATAGCATTTTAAGAAGGTATTTCATGTAGAGATGGCAAAAACCTACTGAGTCACATTTCTTTTTCAATTCCAAAGTGTTATCATTATGTGCTTTGTAAAGATATTGTAATATTCTTTGCTTCAGAAAACCTTCAGATGGATGCTGTGAGGTCCTTCTTGTCTAGTTTTAAGTATTTTTAACAGAAGGACTCATCTTTTATTTCCAGACTTACATAGATATCTTTAAGTTGATGACAGTTATGCTGAAGAAAGCATGCTTAGAGGAATTTGTCTACCATTTTTTATATTAAGCGGATGATGTGACTTCAACCACCACCACCCCACGCTGCCTTGAAAACCCTTACAATAAATGAATGCCTTGAAGTATTTATAGTCTAATCAAGAATTAAGGATCAGAATTGACCTGGGTTTTCTAACAGGAAAGATTCTAGTCTTCTAGAACTTGGTGTGATTTCATTGACTTAGTGTTCCTTTCATCACAAAAAAATTGCCTGAATATACCTATGATCTTTCTATTGCCATTCATTTTGTTTTGTTAACAGCTTCATTTACAAAAGAAAAATTAAAATATGCTGTTAATGATATTCTTATTATTTTGAACTGTAAAATTAAATTACTCGTACTAACATACATTAGGGAGACATTGTAATTATTTAGTTATAGGTTGAAAAATATTTTTAAAGACTATGACATTTTCTACACTTACGTTAAATATTTATTAGTTTTGAATGTCAGTCAACTGTTCAGTGTTATTAAGTGTTTTTACGGCTCTTCAGATAAAGCATTATGACTTGCTGTAAATATCTGCACACCATAAAACCAACAAGAATTATAGTTTTTTCTTGTTTATTGCAGCCTCAGTATGCCTCAGACCACCAACATCTGACACTGTCATAATTTCCCCATTTAAGCAACAGTACAACATTGGTGAAATCATTAAGTTGAGCTGCCAAGTTGGGTTTATACTCACTGGTCAAACACAGTATACTTGTGGGAAAGGCCTGTCCTGGATACCTCCTATTTTGAGATCTATTACGTGTGAAAAAGGTTAGTATGCCTGCAGACACTTTACTGTTTCTATACTGCTGATATTAACAGCACAGTCTGTTTTAGCTAGCTGGAACCAGGAGGCAGATGACTAGTTTTAAGACATACAGCAACTGTTCATTAATTTTGGTTTTACTTAGTGCCTACCACAGTGCCATACAATTTCAGCCCCAAACTTCTGCATTAAGTTCAGAATGTTTGGATGCAATGTACTGTACACTTTAATGATGAAATTGAGATACTGAAATAGGTTTCTTAAAAATAAAATACCCCCCTTCCCCCCGTCCGCCCCCCAATCTGTACTAGCAAGCTTTATGAAAGCAAAGTAGGAGAACATATTCTATTGAAACTTCATCTTCTCTTGTGCAGGATTTTCCAGTGATCTTTGCAAAGACCGATGCATACTTGTGGAATCTCAACCACAGCAGCTTTTGAAGACAGAAATGTGGGATAAACAGAAACAATCCCATTTTAGGTTTTATGGCAGGAATCAAAGTTATTTCTGTTCACTTTGTTCCTAGTTACAATACTTCTCACTCTTTTGTTTCAGATGAGCAAGCTAAAATTAGAGGTGTTTGCAATCCAGGACAAAAGCAGGTTGGATCTCATTGTGTTTGTATGTCTCCAGAAGAAGACTGTGGGTAAGTTAAGTACTTAATTAGAAAAAGAAAAGTTGAAACTTCTCCAATGATAGACCAAGAGTCCATTGTGGCACAGACAGGAAGAATAATGAGGGCTAGTCTCTGTTTGATTTTAGCCAGCTATGCCTCTGTTTCCAAATTACAGCCTATGAAATCAATGAAAAATGACGTTAACCAAATGGCACACCGTGGCACATCCTTCTAATCTACATTACCATCTGCTACTGGAGATTCCAACTCTTCCTTTTCTTCTCTTTATTCCTCCAATTTCTAAATTTCCACTGTCATTACCTTGCTATAATAGGTCATGCTCCTTGTGTTTGATATTCACCTTTTTCAGATAAACATGCTGCAAAATACACTGTATGGTTCAGTCTCCAGAGCATATAAAAATATGTAAGACTTGGATTTACTGTCTCTTTACACAAGACCTGCACAGACCATTGAGCCTTCAAGTGAATAGAGGGTTATCCTAGAGGATTTTTAGTAAATGACTGGCCAGAGTGGAGGTGTGGAGTGGGCTTGGAGATAGGAAAGATGAGTAAGGATTTAATATGAGCTGGGCAGTTGTAGGATCAACATACATTCCACCACAGTGCTCCTGTGTGACCACAGGCAAGTCCCTTGGCATGGGACTTATCTCATTCATGTCAACACCCAAATAACCAGGTATCTTCCCTCTCAAGAGTCCTTGGGTTGAAAGAGAGCATGTTCAGAGGGTGATAGACACTGTCAAAAGTACATAGGCCAAATCCTCTGAAAACTAGAGATGTTTTGTTGACTAAAGGAATAAGCTTAACTCAAGAACATAAACAAGGTGAGGTGTATTTTGCCCTCTCTTTGGGAAACGCTAAGCTCCACAAAATGATGCTGCTTGGAAATGCCTGCACTTGCTGAGAATGAACCTGCTCAGGAACCAAGAGCAATACAGAAAGAAACTACAAGCAGCATGGCTGGGTTTGCCTGCCATCAGTCCCAAAACAATTGTGCCTCAGAGGCAGACTTGCACACACAGCTGCAGGGCTGCATTAGCTCAGACAAGACACCACAGGGCCGGTGGAATTTTCACATGCCTTGTGGAGGTAACAGCACCTCCTGTTTTCTTGTGCAGGCACATGCCCTTCACCTCCCATCTGTTGGACAGGACCAAAGCTTCCTCATCTCACAGCACTATGCTATATCAGGTCCAGGTCCTGCAGTAGCTGGGACAGTCTTAGGTCTTTAGACAGATTTCCAACCTGTCCATGGCTTTGCTATGTTTCATCTGATGCTGGTGGAGCATTTAGAAACATGGACTTGTTCCACTGCCTGCTAAAATAATTTTTCTTTTTTCCTTGGGGCAGCCACTACTCAGAAGACATCTGCGTGCTACATGCTGTTTCTGAACAGAATGTGACCAAGACTATCTGTCAGTATTCAGCTGAAACATGCCTCGGAGAGCAGTCATTTCATTTTTTGCATACTGGCCATTGCCATGGTGATTCCAACCTAGACTGGGCTATTGAAAGGGCAAAACTCTCTACAAATAGCTTGAAGAAAGTGCCCTGTGGCTATGACACCTGCTATGACTGGGAGGAATGTCCAGGTATGACTTCTGAATGGTGGGATTTATCCAGTCCTTTGAATGTAGAAATAAAATATTCTGACTCCTTCACTGCTTCAAGACTGGGATTTACAGGCATTGTGGTCCATCTGATCAATTTACGGTGAGACGAGTGTGGAAGTGAGGTCAGTCCTATGTCCCTGCTACCACGTGTTACTCTTAGATTTATACCTTTTCCCTTAGGCATGAGTGGTGTAGCATTGTCACTCCCCATTAATAAGGCACAAAAGGAACTTTAAGATTAAGGGAACTTTTTCAGGTGAATTAACACTTGAATCTTTAAGCCCATTCCCTGTGAGGCTACTATGACCACCAGTTTGTACTTTAGGAGTTAATTTGGGCCACACCCTCTATAGCGTATAATTAAATTACAAAAATAAATCATGATACTACTTAAAAAGTAAAACGGGGGCCATCAGGCTTAATGGGATTTTAGTGGTAAAATTTGCAAATACCCATATGTAAAAACTGTGTTTATTAAGTGTTAATGAACTAGCTAAGCTGGTGAAATCCCTAAGAGGATTATTTTATAAACACTTTGTGCAACTTTGCTATTTACTGTGTAACTTGGTGATAAGAGTAGTGGGTTTTCCTGTAAACATCTGAGGTGCTGGCTGGCTCTGCATACATCAAGAGCTTGCCAGGAAAAGGCTGAGTGGCAGCCACGCTCATTCCTTCACTAGCTTCCAGAGACAAATATGATCCTTATCACACCTTGACTACTTATGATAAAAAAAGGAACAGCGATGTGCAGCAATCTTAAAACACCATTTTGAAGATGCAAGATTTCTGCAGCACAGGATCTGAAGCAGGTGGCTGCAAAATTACCACGAGATGTTGTTCCTTGTGGGGCCAAAGCAGAGGACACAACCCTTGAGGGCCATGCTGTGGTGGAGCCTCTAGGCACCTTGGGTTCCTGGGAAGGTGGCTATAATTTTAAAAAATATTAAGTTTATTTATTCGAGAGCCCCTAAGAAGCCTAGATCTACTCCTGCTGTGGAAGTGGCTTAAATCTGGATCCTGTGCCAGAAACCCAGTGTTCTTCTCTCAAAAGCCTACAAAGGAGCCCTGTTCAGTGCGGAAGAATGAGAGAGAAGAGAAAAATACATTAAATAAAATAAGTTTTCATTGTTGTGCGCGAGAGGTTTAAATTGGACTTTCCTCCTCACCATCTCCACAAAAGTCCTCTTTCTCATGAATATGCACAAACATTTAGGAAATTGAAGTTTTGGGTTTCCTGAGAATAAGTTTCAACACAGAGATAGAAGGTACTGCAGTACCATGTGACGCAGCTAAACGGAGGAAAAAACCCAGGTTTTTCATATGTTTTAAGAAAGGGAAGGCAAAAATTTAGTTTCCCACCTAGGGAATTTCTGGGAAAGAATATAAAGAGTCAGAATCTGATTAGATCAGAAATGGATAATGAAATTACCAGCAGGACTAAGCTTTACCACAGGCCAGCAGCAGGTGTCTTAGCATTCATAAAGGGAGCTTTAATGAAATAGGAGCTGACACAATATGGACCTTGAGACTCCATTTCACAGCAACATTGTGTGCAACGATAATTGGGAACAGAAAGTCAACTTAATATCTTTTTGTTTATAAGAAAGGTCAGGGAAAGCCAGTGGATAAAAATAGTTAGATACTTCATTTCTGCTTCCATATGGGCAACTGCTGCAAAACCTCATATTTAAAAATGCTTTTGTCTCTATTCCTAATACCCTACCATCTAGTGTATGCACTACCAGCTTTTGGTAACTAACACATTGCAAACCTCTAATAGCGTTTTCCCCTGTTGGACTTTGAAATGTTGTCAAACAAGAAAATACGGTTTTAGTCATGACATTTGCAGCTAAAATTCCAACATGTTCATTCCCAGAGACACAGAGCCAGTGCTCCTGCCTGATGCCTTACCAGTGCCCCAAAGAAGAAATCCGCCTTCACTGCATCCAAATGGAGTCGACAGGGAGGAGGAGGACAGTCAGTCATTGTACGCTGGCAGCCATGAAGTGTGCTGGCATCAAACTGGAGGTGCTGGAGCAGAGGAGATGCCTGGCGTAACCTGTCAGATATCCTGGCAGCCACCACGATCAACCCACTGTGTTCAGGCTAAGCCATCCTAGTAAAGACTTTACTGGTTATGAAAGAACGAGTAGATCAAAAACAAAGGATAAAAAAAAAAAAGAGCTCACTTAAAAGATTTTTGGGAGAAGGTTGGCAGTGGGCTTTTTTTGGTCTGAAAATGTCTTAGGGTGTGGGGTATAGGACTTCTCTCACTACTGGTAACTCTGTGGATAAGCAGAGGCAGGTAAGGGAGTGGATGGGAAGGGAGAAAGAGGAGCATAGCTTCTGGTCTCCCTTGGTGCTAGATGAGACTTTTGCTTTCCTCAGCCATTTGTTACTTTGTCCCTGTGCTTGTGACTGCTGTGCACACTGGTTGTCTCACTGTCTGAGTACCTGCTGTATCATCCAGGCAGGCAGACCAGGCACATCAGCATCATTGCACATTGCCTCTGACACCTAATGGGGTCATGAAGGAGGCTACCTGTACAGGCACTCACGGTGCAAACTCAGGGAGCAATACAAAATACTGAAAACTACAAATATGCAATGATTGAGTGAAGTCTTCAAAACCATCTGATTTTTAATCAGAGTAACTGAAGGAAAGAAGTGTTTGCTTTCTGGGTTTGTTTGCTGGTTTTGAGCCTTAAACACTGTTGGGGATTTTTTATGGCACCCTTGAGGTGAATTAAACACACATTTGTGCTTAAATAGAAAAGAAAAATTTAATTAATTGGGCAGAGTTCTACCACAATACACCATTCTACATGGAGTCTGCAAAGGTGCGTCACATGCAGACTGCATATATACATTTGCACCAGCACTAATCCTGACAGCAGTTGCATGGGGCATCTCAGCCCAGCCGTGGGCTGATGCCCTGGCCCAGCTCTGCTGCCCAAATGTGGCCCCTGAGCTTGGGCCTCTGAGCCCTCCCATTCCAGGATGGCTACAAGACAATGCCGAGGCTGTTTCTTATCTCATCACCAAGGAAAATTTCACTCCCTTGCAAGGAGTTGTTCTAACTCTGGCATTTCTGAGTCCAGCCAGTTTAATCCCTTCTTACAGTTGAGTTTTCTTGCCCTCCATGCCAGATCATTCCTCAGTCACAAATTACCACTGCTGAGCAGTTACAGTCAGAATTTCCCATTCAACACTCAGAATTTTACAAAATTGAGGATTAGAAACCTGCCTTCCAAGAAGGGGAAAGCTGAAAGTCACTTTTTTCACCAGGAGTGAGCAAAATAATGAAAGTCAGGGGAAAAAAAGGCATGAGAAGTGTCCATTGGTGAATAACCTGCCCTATGTATAAATGTCACACCTTGCCAGGGACTGAGCAGAGTCACTCAGGAGCTGGAAGTGGGCTGGATGTGAAACGGTTATTTTCCCTCCAAGGAGATATCAGACCCCTGTATATGGGATGTTGCCAAGCTCCCTAAATCCAGCTAGTCTCGACAGGATGGAGCTCAAGGAAAAGAAGCTGTTAATCCTGCTGCTAAATAAAAAGCATTATGTTTTCTTGCTTATAACGCATAGTAAAAATTATTATAAAAAAAATTACATGGGTTTACACTTGTTGTTTTATAGCTCTTTCCTCCAACAGAAGATATATACTAATATGCTGGTGATGGTCTAGGAGAGGGTTGAAAACTTGATTGTCCTCAGATGGTTTTTTAGTGCCCTTATTTCTTCTTGCTGGTTGCATTCTGTGGAGGAATAATCACTCAGAATGGCTGTGTATGACTTCTGCACCCTCAACAAGCAATGAAGATTTCTTGCTCCTGACCCTCTAACCTCAATACTAGCTTTTCATTACAAGGACTCTGATTCCAGCATGACTGTCTAGCAATGTGATAGGTGGAATTTTTTTTCCATGACACTTCTCACCATGATAAATTGCCAGATGAAGTTATTTCCTGGTAAACAGAAGGTAGCCGAGTTTCCCTTGGCTGCCACCATTTCTCCAGCATCTCTATCTCAGAGTGGTTGTGTGCTGTGCAAGCACTCACGTTAAGACTTATGTTATTCTCTCTTGCTGATAAGGACAACTCCTGTATTTTACAGTTGAGCATTATGACATAGAAAGGAGACATCATCTGCCACTCATAAATAAGGTGGTGATTCAGCCATAAACTGAATCCAGAGGAAAATTTCAGCTTGCTGAAATTAGTGAGTTTTTTGCTGTTGGCTTCAGTATAGTCAGGACTGCTCTCGCAAGGACTTAGGGTTTGCTGCTGTGCTCTGTCACAGGGGTCTCCAACCCTTACATCAAAGACTGCAGCTCTCTAATGTTTCCTGCAACATCTATCTTTTTTCTTGGATAAGCTTTCCTCTTCTAGTGTGATAACTTATATTAGGTAATGATAGAGTTTTCCTATTCACTAGTGGCAGGAAATGCCATTCCTCCTTTGCCATTGTAAGCTCCAAGTAACGTTATCTGGCTTGATTGATCATTGCCTTGGGCCATAAATTATAATTGGGGAAGATGAAGCAAACCTGAACTGAATCTGTCAGGGTAACCAGGGCCACAGAAACCTTACCAATTCTCGAAGGACAGCTTTCTCAGTAATGCAGCTTCTCTACTGCACAGAAAAATCCCATCTATTTGTTCTTAACGTCAGAAAGGAGGCATTATCCAAAATGAGTATAATGAGCCTTTCCACTGACGCAAAGTTCCATTTTCACTAGCACAACAGTATGTGAAGAGTATGTAGAATACACTTACCACAGCGAGACAGCTGAGGCACAATTCAATGGCTGGACAATTAGCAGCTGCTGTTGTGGGCTTCTGTATAAATAGTTCTTGCAATTGTAACGTAGAATGCAAAATTTGACAAAGTATAGCAGAAAACTGAATATACCTATGGTGTCTGTTATAATGTTTATCCTTATGCAACCTCAGAAAGGGGTAATCCAGAGTTTACTTCAAGCATTTGAAGATAAGGGAGATATACATGTTTAATTATCAACCACCAAACATTCGCAAGTGAGCCAGTGCTTAGTTATAGCAATTACTGTTTCCTGATACAGCTATGAGAAAAAAACATCTTGTATTAAATGTTTGAGTTCTGATATCTATATTTCAGCTGCTATGTGAGAGGTAAACATCTCTTAATTTAAGAATTTGGTGCAAAATATGACTGTGACTATTAAAAGCAAAGCTGCAAGATGCAGTGAGCACAATAGAAGATGGATTCCAGAGCTTTTACTAGTACCACTTTCCCAGTAAGTGATAAAGAAGAGGCAATCTCAGCCATTTTTTTCCCATAGCTCACTGCTGTCCAATGCTCTCCTAGACTTTCACTCCAGCAAGTGCAGGGAGGCACCTCCAGCAACAGCATAATTTGTGGCATCCATGACAGTTTCAGCTCAATGTATTCAGCATATGTATTTAGAGGAAGAGGTCCATCACATTTCTTCTCACCCAGAGATCCATGAACAGTAGGCTTTGGCTAGCTGTTTCAGAAAAGGGAATCCGTATCCGTAACAGAACTGACTCGACTCTGCTAGTGGAGTGTTATGCAATAAAGATGCTACAAATAACATTGTTAATAAGTTAAAACTTAACTAAATTTAATAAACCAGCTTCTCAGAGGTGTCAGTTTTACTATAAGGGATCTTTCAACCATCTCTCAAGGCTCTGTGTGTTCATGTGTGTGTAGGTGTGAAGACTTCTGACATGGAGGGGTTTGGGTAAGCTGATCTTCCTTCCTTCATTACTGGGAGTGATATACCCCTAAAGGCGTATGTGTGCATCCAAGCTAATCATCTTTGGCTGTCCTTTTAGTCAACGGAGGAGAAAAACAGTGCCTTAGAGGTCAGGATTTCTGTCTTGTTAGGTAGATGTCTACAAACAGGCTGGGTAAGTCATGCCCCAAAGGTGCCTGTCTTCCTCTGTTGACTGTGAAGGAAGCTGGGGGGTGACTAGACCAAATCACAGAATCACAGAATGGTAGGGGTTGGAAGGGACCTCTGGAGATCATCTAGTCCAACCCTGCTGCTAAAGCAGGTTCACCTAGAACCTGGACTGCGTCCAGGTGGGTTACAAATACAAATATTTATGCTACAGATGACTAAAACCAGATGAAATTAATTCTACCTCTTCTATTTTTAAAAATTAATATATATGTGTATATATTTTTAAAATATATAAACATATATATACACTCCTAACACTTAATTTCCAGCACTGGATTATTTGCCTTCCAGATCAGTGCCGTTTATATTGCCACTTTTCAGGCTCCATCCACAAAGGACCAAAGCTGTTGTGGATAACTCAAGGTTAGAGACTGGGTCCCAAAACAGAGCTGAGCACCAAATGAGGTGCCTGTGCTTCCTTCCCATCACACACACTGTGAACGAGAAACAGTTGAGCGATATTCACGTGTGGGTGGAAGAGAAGAGCACGTCTGTATAAGACACAGCCAGCCACCAGCAAAACGGTAACGACATGATTTTAGTGCACTGAGCCCTGCTTATTATCCAATGGGGTTTGGGTCACAGTTGTTCCAGGACCTGCAATAACCAAACCCAGAGCAGAAGGGACTTGATTTTAACACGTTGCTTTTTAGATGAAGTGTGGTTGCTTTTTTTAATTATTATTATCTCTCCCTAGAGACCCCTTAACGTCATTAGTTGAGAGTCAAGGGGTCTTCAGCCTGACAAAAATGATCTTCAAGGTAAACAAGAAATTACTGCAGAGAGCTCTGCTATAATTCCCGTTTTGTTTTTGTAAGCTTTTACTTCCATAACTTGCAGGGTAGCAGAGCCTTTCACCCAGCATCATCCTTGGGTGATGAAATCATTTACCTAGAGCTCATAAGGTATCTCAAGCATGGGTCCTGAAGGCACCAGCCAAACTTATGGCCCAGACCAGATTCCTACGGGCCTCCCCACCCTGCTTGTGGCCCAGGACCCTGTTTCAGCCTGCCAAGGCCATCAGGCCCTGCCCTGCCTGGTCATAGACCTCATTGATTGGGATCCCTGCCCGTGGGCCAATGTCC